GGTGGCGATGGTGATGCACCCCGTCGTGCAAGCGCGCGCACAAGCCGAGCTCGACACTGTCGTCGGAAAGACGCGGCTGCCGACGTTCGACGACAGGGAGCGCCTACCGTACCTGCAATGCGTCATCTCCGAGGTGTTTCGGTGAGTCCACCGTGTCCTGCTTGCAAGTGCGCTTACTGACGCGCGGATAGATGGGGCGTGGCAACGCCCGTAGGTACGTACCAGTTCCGCTAGCCACTCGATGGTTTTACTTACGCGTTGCGCGTACTATGCAGGTGTGCCGCACCGCTCAACGGAGGACGACGAGTACAACGGCTGGCACATTCCCAAGGGCACGATGGTGATCGCGAACGCCTGGTGCGTATCCGGGTGGTATGTGACGCACCCTACTCACATGCGATGGTACAGGGCGATGCTGCGCGATGAGCGGGTGTACCCCGAGCCTGAGCGCTTCAACCCCGATCGCTTCCTGGCAGGAGAGGGCCGCGCGCCCCAGGCGGACCCCCGTGGGCCGTTGTTCGGATTTGGACGCCGGTGAGCAGCACGCACCCTCTTCGTTTTGTTTTGCATGCATCAGACTCACCGTGCGTAGTGTATGTCCTGGGAAGGACCTGGCGGAGAATAGCGTGTTCGCGGCGCTTGCGCTCGTCCTGCACGCATTCAAGCTCACACCCGCCGTCGGGGCGGATGGGCGGGAGGTACGCGTAGATGGTGCATTCCGGGAGCACAGTATTCGGTGAGTGTGCGGCGGCCTCATTCATATCTTGACTGATGGCGTGTGCACAGACACCCGGAGCCGTTTGTGTGCGTGATCCGCCCGCGCCTGAAGACGTCGGCGGCGCTCATCCAGCAGGCGATGGAGGCGCATTGAGTCGTAGTGGCATTGATCCGTCATGTGAGGCCCTCGGAGCTGCCGCTCGGCGAGACGCGGTCCCTGACTTTGATCGATTTATGATGAGACTGGTGGACGATAGCCGTACATGACGGGAATGTGTTCGGATGCGGTGGCTGGTCCATACGAGATGGGTTTCGAGGAGGCGGGCGTTGGCTATGTATTACCCCACTTGTAGCATGGACTGTATGAACTAGTTCACGACACGACATAATGAATTTGACGTACACTCCTACGTTCGGTGATACTAGGTGGATTGGGATGCAGAATGATCTTCGGTGATAACTTCCACCAGAGAGGAATGAAAGACGAGGGCCACCGCAAGCGCGCTGCCTGCCCCAGCTCCAATCTTGATGAAAAATTCAAAAACGCGGCGGTAGATTGCATTCGATGCGCGAACTTCACCAAGCTGCCAACTTTGCAGGTCCCAGGCCAGCTCCGCGCATTGTATACACGGGCGATGATCGCACCCTTTGCCCCTCAAGGTTCAGGTTCAAACAGGGCTGGTCGCAAACATGTGTTAGTAGGCATTTGAGTCGCCGGGACCAAAATTGCTGCACGGGAGAATCTCTTTTTCCCTGTGTGAGGGGACCTCGTGCGCGGATGAGACGTCCGTTCTATCAAGAGCCCTCTCACTTGTTGCAAGGCGGCCTTAGGTTACCTCTCAGTTGCGTCTCGACTGCCTCCACTGGCTATATGCGAGCGAAAAAAACTACTCAGCTGGTTCTATTCGACGGATGCAAGGGGAGGAATGCAGGTGACCATGGCGATGGATGCGGCGAAAGCGACAAATGCGACAATGAAAACGCGGGCAATGAAGGCCAAGCAAGAGAGAGAGAGAGAGAGAGAGGTTGATGGGGAATCAAGTGCAGAGAGTCAATATATATACATGCGCGACCGCCAAGAAAAAAATTAGCACAATAGCAGTAGACAGCATGCCAAATGCAGAAATTGGACTGCCTAAAATGTTCTGGGAGTCATGTCATCGGCACAGACGTCATCCTCGCTTTCTAGACCTGAGCAATCTCCTCGATGACGTCGGAGCCCTATCGACGTTCACGCGCACGTTCAGGCCTCACTGCAGGCGCAGGGTTTTAATCGATATATATCTTAACTCATTAGAACCCTTAGTGTCATGTGACGTGTCGGTACGCACCTTCTATCCTCTTCCCTCCGATACGTCCCCGACGCTGATAGAAGTGAATAAGGATTAAATGCATAGAAAAAAGTAAGAAATAGACGGGAGACTGGTGTCGAACTTCCTCGTTACACCCGGTTCCGATATGAGACAAGCTAGAGTCAAGCACAAACGTTACACCAAGAGGTAGAGACGCGCACGCAGCGCCGTTCGAGGCGCGCCGGGCAAGTTCGGCACGGAAAAATAAAACCTGAGAATGTGAACATGAATGCGCCTGGACGACCAACATGGACGTTCGTCGATCGCAGAAGTGTCGAGTTCGTGTCTGCAATACGGCTAATTTCATTCAGAATTTCATATCCATCTGGCCGAATCACGTGCCTAAAAAGTGTACTAGAAGCGGGATGTCTGTAGTCTGAAGTGAGAGATTATCATTCCTCTTTGACTTGCCTCATCTGGGCTGTTATACGGTCCTCTGCGTGTGATTCAGCTGCACCCGAAAATTACTGAAATTTTAGCACGATATCCTCAGTGACGAGACATTTTGTCGCTGTGGAGCGTGCGAACACCAGGCAGCCGCTCGATGTCGTTACTGTCAGATTGGAACGACGCAGGTAGTGCAAAGCTTTGCAGCCCTCCACGTTCCATTACCTGCCTCAGTGAAGACAACAGTGAGCGTTTTCTGAAGCTCATGCTAGCTCAATGTATGCAGCCCTGACGTGCGCAGGTGTCCGTTCAGAAGAGCATGTCGAATGTCGCTAACCAGCTGCCTGAGGGTGTGTCGTCGGGCGGCGATTTCACCCATTCAGTGCTGTACCTCGCGCGCTGGGGACACAATTTCAATGCAAATAGGATTCGACCTGCGCTGGACCATAGAGACACGCTTTCATCTCTGGGCGATACCGACTCTGTTGATTGGAACGAATTCTCGTCCGCGTGGGGCGATCACGTACTCGACGCTTCAGATGGCGACGTAGCCCGTTTGTCCTTCAGACGTGCTTTCCCAGATGACATCGACGAGCTAATCATCGACTCACTTGCAAATAGCAAAAGCGACCTCTCAGCGTGCGCACTAACATGCCGTGCATGGTTGCGTCGCAGCCGACACCACCTCTACAGCCAAGTGGCGCTTACCAGCACGAAGCAGCTGTCCAGCTTTGCGTGGACGGTGGGCACGACGAGCTTTCTCGGGGAGATGGTCAAAGAGCTATCGGTCTTTGCTGATGAACACCAGCCGGGTCATCTCCGACTGCAACCTATTGTGCGGTTTCCTGCCGCGCTCGCCCGTAAACTGCCTACCGTAAAGACTGTGCGAATATCGGGGAGATGGCACCATTCAGCCACGCCAGTCTTCCACCAAAGCTTTTACTGGTCCCTGTGGGATTTCTCGTCCGTCACGGAGCTGGTCATCACGGACCTCACGTTCGCGTCCTTTGCCAGCTTCTCTCGCCTGCTCCGCGCGCTTCCTGGTCTGACGTCGCTCGTCTGCAAACGATTGAATTGGAAAGGCCAGGAACGGGATACTGTCTCTCCCCCGGTAGCTCGAACGCACTTGGCATTTTTCAGCCTTTACATTGAGTGGTGTCCAATGGACGAGTTCCTGAATTGGCTCTCGCGCGCTGCGCTGGAGGGACATCTCCAAATACAAACGCTGACGCTGCCTTCTCTGAATCCACACGACTTGGAACAAGTGAAACGGCTTTTCCCTGCAATTGGACCCTCCCTTCACCATCTTACTCTCGGGTTTGGTGTAATGCGAATGAATGTGGACGGTGCCGTCGGTGCGCCCTGTACTCCTGCTGTTATACTGCAGCATCAATATTGACCGTTCTCCAAAGGTGCGAACATTGAGCTCTCCGGCAATCTACATCTACGCACGTTGACGCTGAACATGCTGCCGAAGTCGGACAATGGTTGGGTACACCTTGCCCTCTCCCGAGTAAAGTCCAAGTGCATGCGCAATGTGATAGTGGTGGTTCCTGAGCTCATGAGCATGGAATACCTCGATAAGGTCGGATGCGAACACATTGACGAGATCCTTGGTCGACCGCACTTCAAGTCATTGCGAGGTCTGCTGTTCTTATATTCGAAAAGCGATCACCAGAAGGCGGGTGACGAGAAGCGCGACCAATGGTGGCGCTGGATTTGCTCGATTCTAGAGAGCCGGTTGCCCCTTGCGCGTGCAAGAGGGATCCTCCACTTTCGTCAAAGTGCGTCCTGTCCTGTTGCGACGCACATGGGTCTCTCATGCACATTTTCCAGGCTGACACTTGATCAATCCTGCTTGTTGTCTTGCGAGTGTATGATGTCCCAAGTCGCCTCTTGTTCGTATATTTGGTATTGCTGTACAATCACTGTGCATCAACCATTCGAGCTCAGTACCAGAGCCTGTAACTTGAGTATCCGTGCGTAGGTCCAAGTACAGAATGAGAGGTATTAAACCCAAGACGGCATCAAAGAAATATTGCGTCTAGTCACAACTCAGCGGTAGTGATGACGTCGCGCGTACTCGGTCGAAGACGGGGAAGACGCACAACGGCGATTCGGACAACCGAAGGACAGGCAGGAGCTAGTGGTGATGCTGCGGTGACCATGCAAGTACAGCGGATTCACTCACGCTGAGACTGATTCAGATTACGAAAACACGTCGTAGCAACATGACGAGCTAATTCTGGACCGCGACTTGGCACTCATATGCACCCACTTAGCTAGTCTCATATGCAGATGTGTCCATTACTGCCGCTGCCATGGGCTCTTGGCTGTTGCACAAATCACGAAAACCCATCATTTCGAGCGGCATAGTGATCTCAATTATTGCCACTTCCCAATACCTTACGCCGAGCCTTGGCACGTAATTTAGTGTCAAAGCAGGGGATGCACGTGAAGCGAAAGATCCGTCCGAGCATCTCAACTGTCTTGCTTTTGTATTAGTCAATTTCATCCGCCATATCTGATATCAGTTATGCAACGTTAACCTGCAGTCCTGAATGGATAAGGATCCATACTCTATATGCAAGGTCGAAAATAACACTGGACACTTCGCGCGCTGCGGCCAAACTGACCGTTCGGATTTGGTGAGTGTAGAAGACCAATCCGACACATGAGTGGACGCAGGGCGGACGATGGCATTCTCTTCCTTGTGATCTTCGCCTGCTCGACGTAGTAAACCTTCCGAAATCTGAAACATCAGCCTGAGCGTGCAACGTCCTACCTTCCACAGCAATGAGACCTTTGCCTGCCTGTGTAGCCAGTATTGAACACTGCGCAAGACTATCTGCACAAAGCATTCACAATTGGCGGGGTGCGATGCGATCTTAGATAGCCAAGAACGGAGAATTCTTACTTCAAGAAATGGAAGCAAGGATCAAAACAACGCGTGTGAACGAAATCACTTGGAAAAGAAAAGGAGGCTGCAGAAGAAGCGTAGCTGTTAGATGTCGAAAGTATGCATTTGGCCTACACTGGTCCTCCGACCTGAGAGAGCTAGCGCTCAGTGAGGCCTCGCCGGATGGCTCAGATTCAAAGTTTCAAATCGGTGTATCGACGAACCAAGGCGTGGGTTAGGGTTTTATACTCTTGGACGTCTCAGGTACCTTAGACGGTCAGCTTGCTCATTAGTCCGGTAAGCACTTTTGAATAGGACAATAAGCGGCCACTTGCATGTGCATGCTTGGGCATGATTCAAAACCGTGATGACCATGCCACGCTCATGTAAAGCGTCGCCGCAACGACGTCTCCCCTGCTTAATCGTGTCCCAAAAGTCAACTTTGTTCAAGTGCTATCCTTGGGCGTCTTTTCACTCAAAGTTGGAACGAAACGTCGGAGGATATCGACAGGAAGCTCGCACTGAGCTACTACGCCCACTGGAAGTTTACGTCCGGTCTCATGTCTCTTTTGCACAAGGCCAAGGACACTGGGGAGGACGCCGAGGTCATGTCTGTCCTTGGGCCTGACAACGGCGACAACATCAATCTTGATGACCTTGGGCTGGAGAAGAATTATGGCTCTTTCACAACGGCTTTGACTACGATGACATGCAATGACCTCATGGTTGAGGTGCGTACTGTGTCTGTCTGTTAGTTTGACTTTTTTTTCGGCTCAGAAGTGCGACACAGCGACCTTCACCTCAGCAAACTCATGGCATGGCTGAGTGCAGAACAAATATGGGTGAATTGTTGACGATGAATTACGGAGTACGTCCACGCATTATCCCCGGTCGGATGAATGCATCGATCAATACTCGTTCTTCTACAAAAGGGGGAAATTGCGTGGTGCTTATCTGGGTCAAACCGCTACATGTCAACGGTGTTCGGAAGCCAGGTAGATAAAAGACTGGCGCTACCAATACCGGCCTTCGTCTCTTTGGAGGTCCCTGCTCCGAGTCAATTTCGGCCAGATGGGTATCATATTCCGTGATGACGAGGCATACCTCGTTGCTGGCTGGGTAGAGTCCTACTTGTGGGGTCTATATCATTCTGATTCTAGTGCTTGCTGGTTACACCTTCTAACATTTGTTGTATGTAGGGCTCTATACGGTCATATTCGGTATAACCATGTACAAGATTCGCCTGAAAGGCTGGAAGAAAATGAACAAGGTGACCACTGGGACTATCATCATTCTGTGAGCCGTGCGCTTCTTCAGCAGCTCTTCACTAAGTGTCTTCTCTTGAAGCTATATTCTCGCAACTGCCCACAACGCGATGGCTCTAAGGTTGCTCATCAATGCATTCATAGTCTATGTACAAGACCCAGGGCCCCAAGCATACTTCGCAAACATTGCCGTCCCGTTGAATATCGCCAAAGATGTGGTGTATATCACAAATGTCGGGCAAATCTGAGACAAAACATGCGTATTTACTGATACTGATAACTCTGATGCAGATCTGGGTGGGAGACAGTGTCATAGTCTGGCGTCTCTATGTGATCTGGGGAAAGAAGCTCTGGATAGTTGCCTTCCCAGTATGCAT